GCTCACGTGGGCACAGCTTTCTTCCATGACAGATAGACTTCTAAAGTATTTTTGAAAAATATTTTCCCCCTTATGGAAATGTACACCTAATTTCCGGACAGACACGATTTGGCCTGGGTAAGCATATGGCGTTTCCCAGTCTCCCGTCTGCCCCTGGTGTGGTGGAGACCCCGTGACCGGCAGTTCCTTCCCTCTCTTAGCTGGTGGGCTGGGGTGAAATGACAACAGTGCCCCCTCCAACCCCCAGACTACAGGGCCCGTGGAGACTGGGATCCCCTTCCTGCTGCATTGGCCATGCTGAGGGTGATCCACTCTGTGGACTCCAGCTTGGGTAACCTTCCTCCTACCTGGTGACCTAACACTTTGGACAGAAGCCAAGTGTTTGTATCTGAAGTAGGCAGGAGGAATATGGATGGGTTGCAAAGGCTGTTAAACCGCGTGGGGCGCGCACTCCTGCTTTGTCGGGTGTCAACACAGCAGCGCTCTCATCCTGAGAAAACTTAGTCTCGGGCAAACCAGGACGTCGGTCACCCTGCAGTGTTGCTCTGCTCCCCGCGTGTTTTCCCTGTACTTTTTCATCTCTCCAGCATCAGAAGCCTGCCCGTGCATTTCTCAGAGAGTCACTTCACCTGCCTCTTCTCTCTGGTTAGCTTTTCCCTCCTGCACTTTTCATTGCCGTATTTAAGTGTTCACATTGGCTTGAAAATGACATTTATTCCATCAAGAGCTTCATTTCTGATGTGATGTTAGGAAACAAAGGCTGTATGGATTTCCCCCTCTCCCATTCCACCGTGACCATCAGTATTGTTGTGTATCTGGTCTCCAACCCCAAAAGTTATTTTCCAACCCTGATAAGTTTCTTTTAAAAAAAATCAATTCGTGGTTTCTGAGGTTGATTTACTTTCTAAAACCTTGTTTAAGAAATAGTCCAGGCAGCACAAGATGGATGTTAAGTTGTTCAGTTGACATCAATGGGAGCTTGAATTACTTAGCTGTTCATTCCCCTGGTTCTAAGAGAAAAAAAAAAATACCCTCTGCCACCAACAACAAAAGCACTTGAATTTCAGAAGTCACATAAGTCCTGTGCCTGCTCCATTTCCAGATGGTGACTGGAAATTTAGATAGTTGAAAAATGCTGCAGTTTGTGTTGCAAGTGCCTGTCATGCCAGGAGCCCCCAGCAGGTGGAGTCCGCGTAGTCAGGGGTAGGATTGCCGTATCCCCTTTTTCTCTCCGTAGAGCTCATCCTCACTTGGTCTTACAATTCACCCGTCTCTAATCCCACGGTCTGCCTCGTCTCTCTCCCTTCCACGGCTCTGCCTCGATCTCCCCAACAGATGACCAGACTCTTTGGTCTGCAAGTTTAAGCAGAGGAAGAATGAGGATCAAAGCTAGCTAATGAGTCCCTGCCTCTGAAGTAGAGACTGCAGAGTGGCAGCCCGAGAGTTGTGGGTCGACAACCAGTTCACCTCTGGCAATGGTCAGTGTTTCTTAGCAGTAGGGGGTTGGAGGAGACGGAACTCTTCAGACCTGTTCTTTCCCCAAAACTGCGTGGTGTTTCTCAAACACCAAGGCATGAGCTGGGCTGTCTCACTGTGTCCGCATGCGGTAGACAGAGATGTCCCTGGTGTCCCTGCAGAGGGGTCTCCAAAGGGTTTGCCTTTTATTCTAGATGTCTCAGAATGGCGACTCAACGTTACAGTTATGTGGAGTATGCTTGTCTGATAGAGGCGTGGTAGAGTTTATATAGACTTAGTATGCTTGTCTAATAGAGGCGTGGTAGAGTTTATCTAGACTTCTATAGACTTACACTTATAGATAGTAAAGTGGGAGGGTGCAGAGGTTGAAGAAGTTTTGTTTCTTTAATGACTGATTTGAGAAGTGGAGAGAGAAAAGGAGGCAGGAGGACAGATGGCACTAGCTCTCATCCTCTGGTTTTCTCATCAAAAACCTGCAAATAGCCAGGACTAGGCTGAAGCAGGGGCCAGCAGCCAGGAATCCCTGTAGGTGGCAGGGACCCACCTGCTTGAGCCATCACCATTGTTTCCCGAGGTCTGCATTAGCAGGAAGCTGGAGTGAGGAGCTGGACGTGGGACTCAGCCCAGGTTCTCTAATGGGAGACACAGCCATCTTTACCTCTAGGCACATGCTGCCTCTACGTGACCCAGAAAGACCCAGGGGGGAGCCAGGAGTCAGAAGCTCCATCTGGGTCTCCCAGTGGGTGACAGGAAGCCAATTTCCTGAGCGATCACCATTGCCTCCTAGGGTTTACGTCGGCAGGAAGCCCAAGTCAGGAGCTGGAGCTGTAATCAAACTCTTATTAGATGTGGGACGCGGGCATCTTAACTGCTAGGCGAAAGGCTCGCTCATCCCTCCTAAAGAGATTAAGAACAAGAGGGCTTTGGTTTTATGTTTCTACCGTGGCATCAGTGGACTTGAAATAGAAGCAAACTCTAAGTTCTCCTATTGTTGGCCTTCCCAAGGGGAACCCTAATTCCCCTTTTTCAAGCCGGGTTCTGAACAGAAAAGCACAGATACACTGTATCTCAATTACTGGTAGGGAACAGGTTGGAACACATGGCTGCAGTTCTGTTAGCCAGCTGGGCTTGTTAGTAATGGTTCCAACTTTAAGTTGACTCCTTAATGAGGTCATGGTGGTCCAGACCTGGGCTGGATTCACCTGCCCTCTGGAGTTTACACCCTGGAGGAGAAGGTGGGTTAGTCTTTCTTGCAGACAGGCCCATCCTGGGGATATGGGATGGAGCAGGGAAGTGGGCGGGCCCCTACCTGAGCATAGCAAAAGTGAAGCCAGGGGACAGCAGATGGCATGGGCGCTGCACCAGCTGTGCTCCGTTTGCCTGGAGCTGGGAAGAAGTGTTCCCTCAGCAGGTGTGGAATGCTCACTCCAGTAGCTGCTGGGACTTCCAGGGGCATCCCTGGGCTGACACGAGAGATACAGACCATCTCCGGTCAGAGCCTGTGGATGGAGTGATTGGTATAGAAATGTGATGCCCCAAGGAGGAGGACAGGGTAAGTTTCTTCCTTTACCAGGAGGCAACACGGCAAAGGGCCAAGGGCCTGGGCTCTGGGGCCGCATGCAAAGCAGGTGTCAGTCCTTCTGTGTCTCCCGTAGCCTGTGACTCCGCCGAGGGAGCGCTCTCTGCGGCTGTTGGCTCCCTGGGGAAGTGGAGCTCTGCTCAGGATTTGCAGGCTCTCGGTGGGAGGTCACGTGGGCTCTGGGTGATAGCATTCTTATCCACACCCCTGCCCAGCACCCCCTCTCTGGCCATTCTTACTGGAGTCCACATGTGGGTGATCTTGTGGTGCAGTGGGTTAAACCACTGCTTGGGCAGCCCGTGTTCCATTTCATAGTAGCTGGTTCGAAACCTGGCTGCTCCGCTTCTGATCCAGCTTCCTGCTGGGAGGCAGCAGATGCTAAGTACTTGAGTCCCTGCCACCCATCTCGGAGAACTGGATGGAGTTCATGGCTCCTAACTTAGGCCTGGCCTAGTCCAAGTTGTCCCAGCTGTTGCATACATTAGGCAAGTGAACCAGGAGATGGAATCAATCTCTCTCCCTCCCTCCCTCCCCCCCCCCCAAACCCCCTCCTATCTCTTCCTCTCTTGGACACTATGCCTTTCAAATAAATAATTCTTTTTTTAAAGATTTATTTATTTATTTGAAAGTCAGAGTTACACAGAGAAAGGAGAAGCGGGGGGAGGGGGGAGAGAGAGAGAGAGAGAGATGGGTCTTCCATCCGATGGTTCACTCCCCAATTGGCTGCAACAGCCAGAGCTGTGCCAATCCAGGAGCCAGGAGCTTCTTCCAGGTCTCCCACATGGGTGCAGGGGCCCAAGGACCTGGGCCATCTTCTGCTTTCCCAGGCCACAGCACAGAGCTGGATCAGAAGAGGAGCAACCAGGACTAGAACTGGCGCCCATATGGGATGCCGGCGCTTTATGCCAGAGTGTTAACCCGCTGCGCCACAGCGCCAGCCCCTCAAATAAATAATTCTTAAAAACAGGTCCACATGCTAAAGGCTGTCTGGCCTGCACTGGTGTTTTGAGTTCTCGTGGTTTTCTGTTCTGAGAGTAAAGAAGGTGAAAACAACATTGCGAGTGAACCGGGCCCAAATGTGCACCCTGTTACTCACGAGTGCTGGAGAATCATTTCTAGCACGTAGGCAATGCTGTTTGTTAAATAAAATAAATACCTGAGTGTCTCTGACTCTGCCTTCGACTAGGGAAGAACAGCTGCCGGGCACCGGCTCAGAGCAGCAGTACCGAAAACTGTGAAGCACCCTGCTGTTTTCCGCACGTCGCCCTTGAGAACCAGAGCTGAGCTCCGGTGCGCGCGTATTTAACCGGAGATCATGTGCTGTCTGGATGGTTAGTCCAAGGTCACGGACAACTTTCTCTGTGGAGCTTGAATTCTGAATTAAGGCTTCAAGATTTAATGCCAGGGTGATGACAGGTTTTTCTATCTGACCCTGTGAGTTTAAAACACTTTTTAGGTTAAAAAAAAAAAAAAGCAAGAAAGAAAAATAGACCTGGCAGGCAGTGTTTGCAAAATACTTTGAGTTGATTTTTTTTTTCTAAATGACAGCTGAGCACAAATGTCTGGGGATCAAAAAAAGCAAGTTCACCCTCCCACCAGGGCAAGGAACCAGGTATACAGGTGGGCTCCAGGGGAGGCTGGTGGGAGACTGTCCACTGGAGGAGAACATTTGCTCCTCCGGGATTTCAAAGGCAGGGCATAGGAGCACAGTGCTACAAGTCCCATGGGGCTGAGTGAACACATCCCATACGGTGGGATCACAGGCATCAGAGTTGCTAACTGTCTCCTTCAAGGTGTTTGTTCCTCCACAAAGAAACCTCAGGGGAACCCGACTTCACACTCGTGGGGTGTTCATGGTTCCGGCCCGGAGGTCTCTGGCGGCGGCGCCCGTGCCCCACTGCGGGGCCCTCTGACCTGCCTTCCTCTCTCTCCTCCCGCCCTGCAGGAACAGCATCGCTGCCTCGGCCGTGTGCATCTTCAACCTCAGCGCCATCTCGCAGGCTTTCAACGGGCCCTTCAAGTACCAGGAGAACTCCCGCTCTGCCTGGCTGCCTTATCCCAACCCCAACCCCAACTTCCAGGTAATTTCAAGGAGCAGAAAGCTGTGTAGACAGGCCCCAGGGCTGCACAGTGCAGCTGCCGTCCCCCGGCTCCCAGGAGCAGCCCGACTGTCAGCTGGACGAATGTCAGTGGCCCTCGCTCCATTGTCGGCCGTGGCGCCTGCTCTGAGAAAGGGCCTTTGTCACTCTGATGTCTGATGCTAAACTGAAAAGGGCCAGCATTCTGCAGCGAGCAGGCATCCAGGCTCCAATTAGCACTAATGATGCTGCACTCTGTGCCCCTGGAACCGCTGCTCCCTAATGAATGGCCTTCTAATGAGTGGGTCCCAGGGCGCAGAGTGGTGGAGACGCAACCGCAGAATGGGAGCTCTGATGGGCAAATGTGGCGAGGTTCCTGTTGGGGACAATGGGCCACGTGGGGGACAGCTGGGGAGAAAGAAGCAGAGGTGAAGGTCGTTCGTCTCTCAGGCACGCTGCAGCGTGGGTGCGCTGTGCAGGGCTCCATACGTCATCCCATCTCCCCACGTCCAGGACGAGCTGAGCCCCAGAGAGAGGCAGTGATGCATCACATTGGATCAGTCAGCAGGTGCACTAGTCTGCCTGGGAACGACTCCAGAATTCCCCAGACTGAGGGGCTTACCCAGGAGCGTTTGTGTTCTCACGGTTCAAGGTGTGGACAAGGTGATCTCTGGTGAGAGCCTCTTCCTAGGTTGCGGACGACTGCTGTCTCACTGTGTCTGCACGCGGTAGACAGAGATGCCCCTGGTGTCCTCCTCTTTTATAAGGGCACCAGTTCCAATGAGCCAGGACTCTGTCCTAATGACCTTGTTTAACCTCAATGCCTTCCGTGGAGGCTCCTTCTCCACATAGTCACACAGGGGGCCTGGCTTTCGATGTGTGACAGCAGCTTTCCTTTACAGCCACTAACTCCCCTCTTACGCCATCTTTCATCCTTGGGGGTAGGATTTCCAGCAGCTCTGAGTTCCAGGCCCTGTGCCGGATGCTTCTCTTAGATCAGCTTGCATGCTGGGTAATTGCCGCCTTCACCTGCAGAGAGGGGCGTTGAGCCTCAGTGGAGAACAGGTGACGCCCCTACAGCTGATTCGCTGCCCAAGGGGGCTCCCACACTCCGTCCTCAGATGCAGAACCCCACCGCATCCTAAGCTCGTGACCCTGGGTCGCCGTGACTTGGGGGTGGTAGAACTGGGACCTGCTTCAGTGACTCCACTTTGCTGAAGCACAGAACCATTGTCTTCTGAGATGGCTGGGGATGGCGATGATTGGATCCTGTTTTCCCTTGGGCTGGGACTGTTCAAGTGTAATGGTTTTAAGGGAGTTTTATATTTGATTGCTGTTTCTGCATTTTTCAAAGAATGTGGCACTGAGGAGAGAAGCCTTGTTTCCGTGTCCCCCGTAGTATTTGTTGCTTCCTTTGGGGCAATTATATGGCATTTTCTGTCTTGCATTTGCATCATTAAGGTGGGGGAGGACAGACAGAAATGAAAAGGAACACTTTGAAGATAAGTGTTGCTAGCATTGATCCATGTGCAGGGCTTCCTGTGTAATATAGCCAGTAAAGATGACTCTTAGAGACCATTTGTTGGGAGCCTTCTGGGCATCACCTGTCAAGCGAATGTGTGCTGTGTCTCATTTTCTCTCTCATACAGAAGAGAAATACACCACTCCTTTTAGAAAAGCCTTTGTGAAATCCTGAAGGTTAAAAAGTTAACAAAGACGCCTGCTGCGTTCATGGTGCACTTTCAACATATTGATGTTTCTATTGCAAAGGTCTTCGCGACGAGCAGAGGGACTTAATAACCTTGATAATCCCTTATCACCTCCAGGCAGCGGATAACTTTTAGCCTGCTTATCTGGATATATTTGCAGCACACAGAAAATCCCCTCATTTCCTAAGGCCACGAGGTTTCGGTTTTATAATTCCACTGTCACAGCCAAGGGCTTATGGCGTTCATGAGATGGAAGTAAGTTCACACGACATAATGAATGAAGGCTGGCAGTAGGCTTGCTGGGCTGAGCATGTCTGCCTTGGGTAGAATTGCAGACTTGGAGAGAGCTAAAGTCACAGGTTACAACTCCAGGTTCACATACGGAGCAGGGTGGTTCCTTTTCCTGGAGTGCGTTTAGTGGCCACACTGGCACCTGGCCTACGTCATGGAACCATTTAGACTGGTGGGGATTTGTGTTGACTAAGGTCCCTCCATCAGGTGGAGGTGAAAAGTTTCTATGTCCAATAAGCAACAGTGATAGGTGATTAGATTTTTGTGTTTTTCCTGATGACCGTTTGAATTTTTTGCAGCCCCTGGATAACGGCAGTAGCTAAGAGAAGCAGAAAGGAGATTCAGGTTCAGCAAGAAGAATGTGTTGGCAGGGGCATTGCATCACATTACAAAATGTAATATACAAATCATATTGAAAACCAATAGTATTTCCTGTTTTTATCAGTTACAATCGGAAACAACCCCAGGTGATGCTCATAAGTCTGCCCTGTTAGAGGCGCCCTTTCCAAACTCACCCATTGCCCTGAGCTCCAGAGAGAAGAATGGCTGCCACTAATACAACACCATCCAGACAGACCCCGTGGCTTAGCTGCCTGGTAAAGGCTCCAGAATCTTGCATGCATCGACCAGAAAGGGTGCAGCTGAAATACAAACAATAGACCTTCAAGCATGGCCACGTGAATGCTTCAGCTTGACCACCGAATGCTGGCGTAACTGGGACAAGGGTGGACTTGTCCTTAAAACAAGGACATAGAAAAACATGCAAGAATTTAAGACGTTCATGATAGGGGAAGCTGCCTACAGGGTGTTTAGGAACTCTTTGTACTACTTCTCAATTTTTGTTTTGTAAATTTAAAACTGTTCTTAAATAAGAAGTTTTTAAATTGCAACTATTATTGTTTTTTTAAATGAGTAGAGGGGTTGACAGAGTGGCACAGGGTAAACTGCCTCCTGGGGTGCCAGCATCCCCGTGAGTGCTGGTTTGAGTCCCGCCTGTTCCCCTCCAGGTGTGTGCACCTGGGAAAGCAGTAGAAGATGGCCTAGGTTCCTGGGCCCCTGAGACCCATGTGGGAGACCCAGATAGAGTTTCTGGTTATTTGCTTTGGCCTGGCCCTATTGTGGCCCTCTGGGGAAGGAATCAGCAAATGGAAATTCATTCTCTCCCTCTCTCTCTCTTTCTGTAATGTAAAATACATAAAATGAACCTTTAAAAAATGGCAACCCTTGCAGGCTTAAGCCACATGTAGGCAGAGGCTGTGTTCGCACTCTGGCTGCTGTTGGCCTCTTGCATGGTGTTCGCCACGCATCACCCAGTGCCCTGGCACAGACACCGTGGGAGACCAGTGGATAAGGCGCAATTCCAGAATCTCCAGCCCTTGTAGAGCTCGGTGAGTTGCTAGCAGTTCAACAAACCTGTCCTGTACCTTTGAATAGCATCCAGAATACAGTGAGCAGAATCCTTGGGTAGCTTACTCATTATAGGCTGGCAGAGGAAACCAAGAAGTCATAGAGCATCTGTCACAACCAGTTCTTGGCAGGTGACTTCAGTGAGAAATGGGTTCCAGCCGTGAAGACAGCACTGCGTGGCAAGCCTTGTTCTGGGCAGCCCCCGTTCATGCCGACTCCAGGTTCCCTGCCTCTCGGGTTCCTCAACAGCAGGGAGGAATGTTCCTTGCATATTGTGCCGGCTGGATTTTATGATGCCACTTTTCAGAAATCCCATGCATGGAAACAAGACCTGTATGCAGCCCTCTCTTGGCCAGCAGGTAGCCAGCTGCCACCTGTGCCTTAAGACCGGCCATGGTTGTCAGGAAGAGTAAAGCACCAAAGAGAAATTCACTCTTGGAACTAGCGCTTACCTGCACCGACTTCAGACCAGGCCCCGTGGAAGTGCTTTTGCATTTTGAAAAACACCTGGCGGACCATGCCCCTGGGCTCTAAACGTTGCTATGAATTCTGTAGTTAGGCCAGTCTCCTGGCACAGCCTCTGGCTCCCCCCATCACAACTGCCTGTGTACGCTCATCACTTCCCTGTTCCTTCAGTCACCTATTTCTCTCCGGCCAGCACAGCTCAATGTGCCACAGAATCACTGACCTGGTACTAGGAGCGTACTTTGCCCTTGCCATTGGTTGAATGGAGTCTCTGTGCCAGGCACATCGTCTTGTTCTTGGGCACTTACAAGCACTTGGAATTACTTTACAAATGTGTCCCACTAGCTATCTCACAAGAGCCGTGGGGAGCCAGCAGAGGGGGTGTTTCCCAGTGGTTTAGCAGGTGATGTGGCAGAGGCTCAGAGGCAAGGCTTTGCCTGAGCCCAGGTGGCGCGAGGACCCAGGTGGCTGAAGCCAGGTGATGTGACAGACCAGTTCTGCAGCCAGAGTAGCACTGAGCCAGGGTTGCAGGGTAGAGCCCTCTGCCTGAACTCACACAGTCCTTTACGTGGTACCCAGGGAGCCCCTGCAAAGGGTATGCTATTAAATTAAGCCTGGGACCAGACCTGTGAAATCCATTCAGCTGGCAACTTCTCTAACTGCACAGTCGACCTGTCGTTTTATGGTGCGTAGGGTATTTTGTCAAATGCTACAAAAATATCATCTACTTGCAAAAAGCAATTTCCATCTTACCCTCTTGCACTGCTGGCCGGCTATAAAGCCAAGTCTCGAAAATGACAGGTTACAAACAGGAGTTTCCGGCCGTCTGGGCCCCGAGATCCATTTCTATCCAGCCTGTGTATATGAGGTTTTCCCGCGGATCAGTCACTGTTTGCACCAGGATTTGAGTTTTATGAAAGACTTCAGAAGGGTTCCTCAGCTCTCTGATTCTCTGCCTTCCATCTCACGCCTCTTTTTTCCGAATCCTTTCCTGGAAGCGTTGTGCAGGACACCTGCCAGCCTGCCCACGGCACGGCTCTGGATTTCATTCTCAGCCAGTCCCAGGCCGGGTTTTCCCTCCGTGAACCCCAGATTGGCGTCCTGAAATTTCCTCTTCCTGCCGATCTCTCTCCGTCCCCTTCCTCCCTCCCTGATTTCCATACTGCTTGCCACTTCTGGAAAATACGCCTGTTGTGTTTCTTAGCCCTAGGCGCTAAACAGTTTTTTTAAAGCTTCTCCAAGCTTGGAATACAAGAACAAAACCGTGCAAGAGCACAGTATTTTATATTCAGTGTGAATGATTATAAACTGATATTACATGGTTTACAGAGGAAAATGGCTGTTTCATTGAAGGAAATTATGAATGACTGACCAAAAAACTGTATACAGGTGAAATGGTCATTTTTCCATTAATTTATTGTTTATAGCCATTGTCTGTATTCTCATTCAACCAGGGCTTTTTTGCTTTTTACTTGTTAAACTTCTTATTTGGTGGTATTTTCAGTGCAATGTAAATTTAAAATTTGCTATCTCAAAAACAGAAAAGAAAGGTAGAAGGAAGGGTGGTGGGAGGGACAGAGGAAAGGACTATCATTGTGTGTTCTTTTTTTTTTTTAAGATTTGTTTATTTCATTTGAAATTCAGAGTCACACAGAGAGAGGAAAGGCAGAGAGAGAGAGGGAGAGGGAGAGGGAGAGGGAGAGGGAGAGGGAGAGGGAGAGGAAAAGAGGTCTTCGATCCGATGGTTCACTCCCCAGATGGCCGCAACAGCCGGAGCTGGGCCAATCCGAAGCCAGGAGCCAGGAGCCTCTTCCAGGTCTCCCATGCAGGTGCAGGGGCCCAAGCACTTGGGCCATCTTCTACTGCTTTCCCAGGCCATAGCACAGGGCTGGATCAGAAGTGGAGCAGCCGGGTCTTGAACCGGCGCCCATATGCGATGCTGGTGCTTCAGGCCAGGGCATTAACCTGCTGTGCCACAGCACCGGCCCCCTCATTGTGTGTTCTTAGTTAGACATATATCTACAAATCATACTGAATCTTTTAAAAATTAATACAATAAAAATGAAATAATAGTTTCATGGAAATACATATAAAGGAAAAACTATGCATGGATTTCAATTTTTTTGCACCAATATAAACCTATCTTTTAATTGCATTTCTCCATGAACTTTTTTTAAAAAAAGAAAACACATAACTCTGTTTTGAATTTTTAGATTATTTAGTTATTTCACTTACTTGAAGGGCGGGGTGGGGGGGAGAGAGCTTCTGTCTTCTGGTTCACCCCCCGGACGCTCACACTAGCCTGCCAGGCTGAAGCCAGAGCCTGGGACTCATCCTGGATCTCCCTTGAGGTTGCAGGGCTCCAGCCCCGTGATCCGTCACCTGCTGCCTCCCACTGTGCGTTAGCGGGAAGTGCCTGGGGACACGATCCCAGGGCTCCAGTATGGCAGGGGAGTGCCTTGAGTGGCATCTTAAGCACTGGGCCCAATGTCTACCCATCAGATGGCCTTGGCCTTTCACTGTGTGGCCCATGTCTTGCTGCCTGGCGCAGAGCTGTCATGGGACAGTCCATCCATCTGGTGTTCTCGTTCCACATCCTCCGCGTGGGTACCTGACTTATTGAACACACGTGACAGTTTGCATTTCCCGGAAAACTCCCAAGTGACTCAACAGCTAATAAGTGCTTTCTTTGCATCTGCTGTCCAAGTTAAAATCAGCAGTGAGGTCCACTTTATGATCTTCTCCACATTTGTCAGAGTTGGAAAGCTCATCAGGTTTGGGGAGTTCGCATCGACAGGGGAAGGAAGAAGCCGTCGGTTGGCGCCCTCAGTTCTGTGTGTCTCCAGTTCACCCTGAAGCCTGGGTGGCCTGGACAGCCTGAGCCTGTCCAGGTGGCCGCTCTCCTGACACAGCCTGTCCTCCCTTGCAGTGCGGCACCGTGGACCAGGGCCTGTACGTGAACCTGACCGAGAGGAACCTGCAGGACGCTCAGAAGTTCATTCTCATGCACGAAGTGGTGCAGCCGGTGACCACCGTGCCGGCCTTCATGGAGGACAACAGCCGCTTCTCCCACGTGGCCGTCGACGTGGTGCAGGGCAGAGACACCCTTGTCCACATCATGTATCTGGCCACAGGTAGGAGCCCTGCCCCCTTGGGGGGGGTGCTGTGTTGTTGTTTTCCCACCTTCTGATTTTGTGTTTTAAATGTAAGCATTCCATTTGGCTCTCAGCCTTTAAGTCTGCCTGCTTCCCTGGATGTCACCAAAGCCTCCTCTTCTGCACATCTTAGTGGAAATCCTGCCTAAACTCTGTCACCACATGCATCGCCATGTTCCTTGGAGACAGTGCCTTGTTCTTTTACTTCTGTTCCTCGAATAAGCCTTATCTTGGCAAGACCACTGTACTTTGATACTTTAACAGGATGCTTCGTGAGGGGACCTTGCTGAGTTGGCCTGGGATTGCACTGGTGATTACTGATTGGTTCAAAACACTGCTCACGGCCACTGTCACCCTGCATGGCACAGGAATGCGTTCTGCAGAAAATGCTTTGGGCATGAATTACAGAACATTGTGTGGCAGATGTAGGCTGCAGTACTTACCAGATTTTAAGAGCAGCACTACACCTGTTCAGTTTCCAAAGCACCTGGATAGAGAAGGCCAGAGGCCCTCTGAGTTCAGGGTGCCCAGCCCAGCCCCCGGGTGCCCAGCCATTTTTCAACCCTGCCACCTGCCCAGCTCCTGGAACCCTGAGACAGAGCAAACTCTACGTGTAGTCTGTCCCTCTGGACACTTCTGTGTCCATTGCAATTCTCACACGGCACAGTCGCTGATGTGGTGGTGGTTGTTAATAATACCTTCTATCTTTTCTTGTTGGAACTTCTCAATTCATAATTATGTGTTCATCGGTTGCTTTTATTTATGAAATCAGTAAGGTTAATGAGTTTTTGCTGTCTGTCGAGCTTGTGTGAAGCGCTGGGGAATGAATGATGAATGAGCTGCCGTCATCCTGGCCTCTTGGAGCCCCCATTCTAATGGGGACCGGCAGGTGATCAACAGACCATTGAGTAAAGCAGCACAGGAGGTTCCCCCAAGAGTGTGCAGGGATGCAGATAGAGGGCTGTGGGGTGAGTGCAGCAGAGGCTCCTGCGCTTGACTGGCCAGGCTCTGCCTCTGCCAGGCAGGGGTGTGTAAGCTGAGCCTGACTGAGGAGGGGCAGCCAGCCCTGCACCCAGGATGCGGGGAGTGGTCAGCCGCGGGCAGTGCAACTGAATGGTCAAGTAAAATGAGGACAGTTCTGAGCCCTGCATCTCTGAATGAGGGTCACGGCTGCCTCCAGAGGCCAGTCTGTGCAGGAGTGAGGAGGAGAGGCGGGAGGAAGTCGGGTGGGGACAGCTGCTTGGAGTGGCTCTTCTGGAAGTGAGAACTTGCGTAAGGGCTTGCTGAGCTATCTGGAGGGGATGGGAGGTCAAAAACGGGAATTTTGCTGTTTTTTTTTTTTTTTTTTTTTGGAAGAGAATAAAAGAAATCACCATTGCATTGTGCATCCTGCTCACCAGGCTGCAAACATGGAGTGTCTCTCTTCTGCCATTTTTATCCTTAGTGCACCCAAAGACTGCCTGGCACATGGTAGGCTTGTGGGTTGAATGGACTGAACCTTTCCAGACGTGTTCCTAGGTCTTCATGGTAAAGATTCAGGTTAATACTGCAGGAAACAGAGCCAGGCCCTTAGCATCTGGGGAGGCAGTTGCTATCCTCCTCAATAGCTGGGCATGGGGTAGGGTTCAGGTGGGGAACAGTGGCAGTGGGATGGGGCTGGCAGAAGAGGACTCCATACAGAGCAGTGTGAGGTCTCGGCTCAAGCCTTCTGCCCTAGTCTCCACCCAAGGCCGTGGGAGGTGATGTTGATTTATATGAGCTCTGATGATCCCTAACAAGTCTCTGCTTCCCCATTCATTGTCGAGGACTGTTGTAGATTGTCGAGGACTGTCGTAGGTTGTTGAGGACTGTCGCAGATTGTCAAGGACTGTCGTGGATTGTCGAGGACTGTCTTAGATTGTCGAGGACTGTCGTAGGTTGTTGCTGACTGTCGCGGATTGTCGAGGGCTGTCGTAGGTTGTTGAGGACTGTCTTAGATTGTCAAGGACTGTCTTAGTTCAGGTTGCAGTAAGGAGGAATGCCACACACTGGGAGTCCAAACAACTGAATTTATTTCTCACTGTTCTGGAAGCTGGAAGTCCAGGACCAAGGTCACTGCTCATTGGTTTCCTGGTGAGGGATCCTTTG